TCGAGAATTTCGGTTTTACTACTTGCTCTGAATTTGTGAATTCCGGCTGTCCTTAAACTCGTGAATTCCTGCATTACCGCTTTCCTACATGCTCTGAATTCCTGCTGTTTTAAAGCTCGTGAATTCCTGTATTCGTCCTGTTCTAAAATTTGAGAATTCCTGATTTCCTGCTTTCCTTAAAGTTGGGCATTCGCGAATTCCTGCTTTCCTACCTGCTCTGAATTTGTGAATTCCTGAATTCCTGCTTTCCTTTAATTTGAGAATTCCTGAATTCCTGCTTTCCTTAAACTTGTGAATTCCTGCAGTCCCGCTTTCCTACATGCTCTGAATTCCTGCTGTTTTAAAGCTCGTGAATTCCTGTATTCGTCCTGTTCTAAAATTTGAGAATTCCTGATTTCCTGCTTTCCTTAAAGTTGGGCATTCGCGAATTCCTGCTTTCCTACCTGCTCTGAATTTGTGAATTCCTGAATTCCTGCTTTCCTTTAATTTGAGAATTCCTGAATTCCTGCTTTCCTTAAACTTGTGAATTCCTGCAGTCCCGCTTTCCTACATGCTCTGAATTCGTGAATTACTGCCGTTCTAAAACTAGTGAATTCCTAAATGCCTCCTGTTCTAAAATTTGTGAATTCCTGAATTGCCCCTGTTCTAAAATTTTTGAATTCCTGCTTTCCTACATGCTCTGAATTCCGGAATTTTGCGGTTCTAAAACTCTCAACCATTCCTGAATTCCCGCTGTTCTAAAATTTATGAATTGCTGAATGCATGTTTTGCTACCTGCTCTGAATTTGCGAATTTCTGAATTCTTGCCCTCCTTAAATTTCGGAATTCGTTTATTTCTGTTTTCCTACATGCTCTGAATTCCTGAATTCCGGAATTCCTGCCGTTCTAAAACTTTTGAATTCATGAATTCCTGCTTGCCTACATGCTCTGAATTTGTGAATTCCTGAATTCCTGCTGTTCTAAAATTTGCGAATACCTGAATTCCTGGTTTCCTTAAATTTGTGAATTCGTGAATTCCTGTTTTCCTACCTGCTCTGAATTTGCCAGTTCCTGAATTCCTGCTTTCCTTGAATTTGTGAATTCCTGAATTCCTGCATTCCTGAGTTTCTGCATTCTGGCTTTCTACTTGTTAATTCAGGTCTGCAGTTAGCAGTCTTCCAGTTTGCAGCAAATTTTACTGGTTTTGTTTTAGATGACTTTGCAGGAAAGGGAAAGTTTGCCTACTGTGAATTTCATTTATTAACTGGACGGTATTCTATAGACTTTTGGCAGTAACTCTAATTGATGAGCTTTAGTACAGATCAATAATATTGCTGGAAGAGAAGAAAAAATTAACATGTGCTGATTTAGCGTGATTTAAAACTGAATCGATGTTATGTGCGTACGCACTTCGAAGTAGTTGCGATGAATATGCTTGAACGGCTTGCATAACACCTGGGTTAGCGCACAAGTATATTTTGTGCAGTCAAACAATCAAACATGGTTCCTGATCCTTTTAAATAAAATTCTTTTTAGTCCAAATCACGTTTTCTCGGACAACTCTCCGTCATTTTCCGCACTGTACCATCAAATATCTCTAGTTTAATAAAGTACTGACTCAACAACAATTAATGTTTTAGAACTGTCTCTTTAGGCTTAATACAATGGTGGGTTCCAGAATTTTGCACTTTATACGCAGAAAAAGCAGTACCATAAATAGTGTGAGCATTGTTAACGTTTTTATCAACTTAGAGACCATCTGCAGATAAACTTGGGATCTCATCGAGCCTTGATGCATATATTTGTGAACAGAAATTAGTATCACAGTGTCTCCTTGTATACATACGAAATATGTTATGCACGTAACCAAAGAATAAAAGCAAAAACCATATCCTCATTGTTAGACATTGGTATTATAATAATAGCAATTCTGATAACATGTTTGTCCGTTGTATACCCTTATGCGAATGTGTTTGTCTTAATACTACTTGGCACACCGACTGAAAATTCATGGAAAAGTAGCTAAAGTTGGATAGACTTCCTTCCTTTTTCTACTCTAAGGCACACTTTTGGAGTCTTGAGCACTGGTCCGCCTACTGTGTTGATAAAATGGATTTTTCGTGACTTTGCCTTCATAATTGCGTTTTGAGAATGACCAAAATCACCTTATAAAGTCATAGTTTTTCAGTGAAAGAAAATCCATTCGATCGGGATTTGATCCACTTTGTCGGGTTATATTGTAGAACTCAGTGTTTATGTGTCCTTGTTTTGCTAGTCGTCGAAGCAGGTAGATTAAATTATTCTCTCGACTAATGGTGGGATAGGCAAACAATACTTTGAATTTGGTTGTGTCTCCAACGATGCGGTTCATTTTGTCGATGTAATCGTCCTTGTTCATAATGCCGACTCCACGTCCTTTGTCAGGTCGTGTAATAACGACATACTTATCTTGACAAAGATTTTTCAGAATTCTCTGATATTCTTTATTGGCTTCATTCGAATGCTAGAATATTCTGTTTTTGTCTTTGGCATTCCAGGTGAATGAATCTGTCAAAGTTAGCAAGCTCTCGAAAAGACTCATTTAGTTGGAGCTGAGAATATGAAGATCCTTGTTGACATGTTTGTCACTGCCGCGAAGATCTGAGAGCAGATCTTTGTGATTTTGATATATATCTTTCACCCGACGAAAGAATTGCTCAATTTCATTGACTGTACTCAATTCATCAGCACGCTGTGGGACTAAACCATAGTAGAGACCGTTGGCTAGGCATCGTGTTTATTCAGGAGTCAGAGCACGACTAGAAAGATTCGTAACTACTTTCGTGTTTTATGTACCGCTGGTCGGTGTTTTACAAACGCTTTTTTTGTTGTATGCTACCAGCTTTTTCACTAGCCTCATTTTCTTCTTCATCAGTTCGTTACGCGATATTGTCGATGTGATGATGTTCATGACTCGATTGGAAATCCCTCCTGGCACCGACTGTGTGAAAAGACTGTAACTATAGTCGAATTCTTTGTCTGCACGATACAAATCTTTGTCCTCAAAATCGATTTTTTCAAGAAACAATCGATGTTGACTGTCTCTGTACGCTTTAATGGAGGATAGTCGACCGGTTGTTGTCTTCAACTATAGAAATTTTGGTATTACATTTTTCATTCAGCATATTTTCAAAGTTATCTCTGACATGGATGGAAGACACGTGATACATACCAAAGATTAAAAGAAGAAAAACACAGGAAAACAAGACCACCACCTACTTATTAGAGAACTGAAAACAGTGCTAAACCTTTAACGAAAGTCGCTTTACGATTTTACTTTTTCTCGGCGACACTAAGTCGCCTAAAAAATTCCAGATTGCCTTTACTAAAATACCAAAAAGGTTTAGCAGAAATTTTGTTTTTATAACAGTTTTTATTTTTTTCAAAGTGACTGTACGAAACCATTTATCTTTCGAAACACTTAGTGACTCTTGTGGTCGGATAGTGAACCCCAGATATGATACGAAACCTAAAGAGTGTAGAAATGGTTCTCTGTACTCTTTTAAGTTATATAGTAAACCTTTTTTTTGGAGAGAACTAACCACGAGATGCATTGGGCGATACTCGATGCTTTTTTGTGCTTGGGTAAACAGAAACGTCGTTTTCTTTTCTAGTTGATTTGGTTTCTCCTTCTAAGACAATTAGCCTCTATGTTTCAAAAGATTATTGTTTTATCAATCTATCAAAAGCACATAAAGGGTGGCCCAGAAGTCCTGTCTCGATTTGAACAATATTCATTGTGCAAATCGAGACAGAACTTCTCGGCCGCCCTTTATACATTTCTTCTACAGTTAATTCTACTCTGGTACAATTTGAAGTTTCCTATAAGAGAAATTTTTCTGTTTTCTGTTTATAGAATAAAATAATAAAGATTTTGCAGATCGAAAAGACAAAAAAGAGAAAAGTTTGCCTCAAGAAAGTCAAGTGCATGAGATCTTCAAGTGCTTGAGATAAGAATTTCATGTGCATACGAAACTCGAGCATACGAGTCAAGAAAGTCAAGCGCATGACATCGGAAAAAACTGCGTTTTGCATGAGTAAGAAATGTCTCCATGCCATGAGATTCTTATTCAAGAAAGTTATGTGCTTGAGAAGAACCATTACCGCAAAATCGCCTTTTTACACGCTGAACAGAATCGGTCCAAATTTTTTTCTGAATAGCTTATTGAATGAATGTACGGGCAGCAAAGTATCTCTTTATTCAAATCATTTTTCGCATTTGAGCGCGAAAAGTGATTTGAATAAACAAAAATTTCTCTCGTTTAACGCTTTTTCTAACTACTTTTTACTTTTTTCTAACTATCATCAACAAATATTTTAAGGCCTTCCCCCTCAAAAAAGTCGATTTTTGTCAGAAATTTTGAAACGGAGATAAATGCATGAGAGATAGCCCGTCATCAGCTCTCTCAGAAACACTATTGATTTCTTCTTCAGTACCCTATTTTGATGGAAATTTTTGATGATTTCCATTAACTGCCACTATCCATGATGAAAAATTTTTTTTAAAAAAAAATGATTTTCTGCAAAAGATAGATTTTATTGAGAAAAGTATTTTCAAGATTGCTCAACCAAGGTACAACAGAAAGCCTAATATTTTTTTTTTGTTTGAAAGAGCGTCGAAAGCTGCAGACACTGTGAGGCTCCTTTTTTTAAATCTACCTTGAATTTTAGTACAAAAAAGGACAAATATACCACTTTTCCCGTGTTTTCAAGCAGTTTTTTGAGACATTGACCTTTCTATGGATTTTTTTCGTATAGAAAGTGACATTGAAATAAAACGGGCTCTCACAGTGTCTGCAGTTTTTGACGCTCTTTCAAACAAAAAAAAAATCTATAAGTTCAATGAAGTTCCACAGAGAAATCTTGAAAATAAAAAGTGCTATTTTTGACCCTTTTTTGGCCATTATCTCGCTGGTGCGTAGTAGGATCGGGCTGAAAATTTTATCATAGCCCCAACATATCCTGAAAATTTCATGCGATTCTTACGAGCCGGGGCTGAGATCGATTTTTGAGGTGTTTTTTTTTGCACTAAATGATTTTTCGCATTCATTAGCACCTAATGGTATTGTAATTAATATTTGGTAAAACTTGTACCATTCAGATAAACGATAAACATCACATTTTGATAAACATTTTGTAATTTCAAGTAAACCAGTTATTGTTCGAATTGTTGAACGAAATTGTGGTAATTGTTTTTGTAATAAATGTTTGTTTAAAATTGCGTTTTCTGTTTTTTCGTACGTTGATTTATTCGTATCTTTACGTTTAAAATGTATTGAATTACAGTAGAACAGCAACAATTCATTATCAATTAATTTATTATCATCATACTCTTGTGGATTAGAAAAATAAGTAATATTATCAACAACCATTCGACAATTTTGATTAAAACGATCTTCGATTGATTCCATAAATTTATCTAAAATAAATATCCATGTTTAATTAATTTATCAACATTTATATCACTATTTTGATCATTTGTTGTCCTACGTTGATCGCCACGACGTGTATATTGTGATGTTAGTGGAACTGTTGGAACAATGTTGTCAATTGTAGCTAATTTTTCTTTATATAATTCAAAATCAAATACGTTCATTATGTTAACAATCTTTTGTCGAATCGAGACATATGCAAAATTTATCTAATGTTGATGATCGATGTTCAATTTCTTTTTAAAAAAATATGAATGTCTTAATGCATTTTCCATGACATTCATTTCAAATATTGTTGTTTTATCAATTAATTGTAATGCATAGCCATTTGCAGTTGGTGAACCATCATCATCTTTTTCTACTATCTGACTTAACGTAGCCACTACTGCTGCTAAATGTTTCCACATAAAACTAATTATTTGGTAATGATATATCCATCTTGTATCACTTGGTGTTGGAATTGCTTTTTTTGGTCGAGGTTTTTGTTGGGCATACTGTACACGATTATTCTTGTTATTTTGTGATGATGTATCGTTAAGATTATCGTCATTATTTGATTCATTATTACTATTTGTAATCGTTGTTTGTATTTCTTGTGAACGTTTTAATAGTATAGCACGAAATGCTCCATCACGAAGTTTGTATTTTTTAATTCGTTTAATTACTTTTTCCATAAATATGATTTAACACTGAGCAACCATTCAGCCCGACTTTCCCCACTCCAATATCGTTGTTTTTTGTTTGAAACTGGTAACCATTTGGTTATTGGCTCTGCCAAATTGCTAGCTTGTAATTTGATGAGATCTTCGAAATTATTTAATGCAAATTCTTGGGTTAACATAAATAAAAATGTTCGTGCTAATGCACGTAAATAATTTAATGTACAAGTATTCATGTTTATTGCATTAATTTTTCCAACTATTGTATTATTATCGTTTTTTGTTAGCTTTGCACTTGCTCTGCTTATTGTATTGCGTTGTATTCGAACATCATCTGTTGCATATTGTGCACAAACAGAACATAATAATCCATAAATATTATTGGTACAAATAGCTCTTAACCATTGTTGACGACTACCAGACCACCATGTTGAACTAGGTTTACCGTGTGTTTTACTATTGGTTTTTTGTGTATCGGGTTTCCAGTTAACATTTGGAAAACGACTTCGTTGTTTATCTACATAATCTAATCATAATCATTTATAAATAATACTCCAGGTATAATTGTTTTCATAGGTGTTGGTCGATATATTTTTTTATCATGCAAAACATCTTCTGTAAATCCAACATCTTCAGCACTATCATTGTGAATTCTCTTTCCACAATCTTCGCTATTATCATCATTATTATTACAACTATCACTAACATTATCAAATGTTGTATTGTTATTAAATGCATCCATACTCTCCGTTGTGTTATCATCCTCGTCAGATTTATCAGGTGTATTTGTTAAAACATCAAATGGTGATGAAATAGAAGTATTCTTAATTATTGTATCATCGTTGAAATTGTTGCTGTTAATGCTTTTGTCCAAAGATGCATCATAATTATTAATATTAAAATAAGTTGTTATTGTTATTGAACCATCTTTAGATGCACTGATTTCATTAGTATTTGCTAAAGTGTTGTCAGTAACTGGATTAACAACTTCACTATTATTGTCATTTAATACTTTTGGATCTGTTTGTGAAATACGAGGTTTTTTTGCAAAATAAAAATCACGTATATTAGATGAATTTGCTTGTTTTGCAGTACGTTTTCTTGAACATTCTTCTTTTAAAGTTTTCAAAGCATTGCGACGTTCATCAGATGATAATAGTGTATGTTTATTGTTACAATATCTTTCAAAATTTCGAACCATTAGCACCTCTTGACATACAGGACAATTTCCCGTTTGGTTACATAGATAGTTAGACGACATTATGTGAAAAACAATTCCCGTTCACTTACCATTAAAGAATCTTTTATGATTAAGTCAAATTTTAAAATTAAGACAAAACTTTTCGTTTCTTTTCCTTTTTATCATATTCACTGATTCACATGAACAATGATAACAATTTACAAATACCGCATCTCCTTTTTAATTGATAAACTGAACCTTAAATATAGGTCTTTTCGATTCTTTTATGGCATAGCTATAATAAATGTGTTTCATAAACGGCTTTTAAAGCTATTAATTACGACAAAATTCATGTTTATGATCTCATTATTAACATACTTTTAGCTTACTTTATCAGAACATTACTTAATCCATTTTATTTACTCCGGGCCTTTGATCTACTTCAAGATTGCTAACTCCGAGTTCCAGTTACTCGGAGACCACTTACTCCGAGTTTCACACCACGGGGGGCAATTCTCCCCTCCCTCCTAATCGAAAACTCTGGATAAGCCAACTCTTAGTTTTTGAAAAAAAATCGAAAAACTGTTTGCACTGTTGGAAACTAGCGCTTTTTATTCTATTCTACCATTTCTTTTTCGTTCTGAATATATTGTTTTTTCCTTTGAGTCAGCTTTGGTCACTCCACAAATATTTTTGACAAAATCATAAAATTTATTATCATTAAACATTAATACATCAGCCGGTAACTGATTCGTATGAATGAAGAGTGTAGACATGATTTTTGTAGTGATTGGCCGATTCTCGGTGCAGTAGTGGAACTACCACGTATTCGCGAACGAAAGCTGAGAATAAACTTCTTCTCGGCCTTTGGATTAGTCGACAGAAGCCGAACTTTCATATTCTTTTCGAAAAACTTAAACCAACTTTATTAAAATTAAAAACGTTCATATCCAAAGTGGAACAAAATACTCTTTCAACCAAATACGACAGCATGTTTAGACAAGTAAGGTAGGTTCTCCATGTACAGATAAGATATTAGAAAAATCTGCAGGAATATATGCACAAATTATGATAAGCTATGGCAAGATCTTAATACAATCTGAAGAAAATCTTAGACAATCTTAAAATAATCTTACTTTAAGTGGTCAAAATCTTAGTAAGATCTTAGAAAAGTCTTATCAAATCTTAGAATTTTCGGGTCTCACGATCTTAGTAAGATTTGTCTAAGATCTTAAACAAATGTAAGCGAAATCTTACTGAGGTCTTAATAAGATTATCTTAAGATCTTAATAAGATCTGAGTAAGTTTTTTACTAGGGAAACATGTTCGAAAGATGGGTTAATCAATATATTTATATCAATGAAGTTAAAATTTTAAGTCGCAATTAAAAACGTTGTCGGCTTCTGGTTAAAGGATCTTCGACTAGATGCACACATTCTTTTAAATTCAATGGAGTGGATCGTCCGATATTACTATGACTTTTTAATGAAGCTCTTTCTAAATAAGGGGATGTTAGTAAGGAAAAAAGAAAAAAAAAGTCTTTAATAAAATAATACTTTAAATTATTGACAGTTAGACTGTTGTCCTTCTTTATTTCAGTTTCAGCTTCCATTTTTAGATTCACAAAGAATAAAAAGCACATGTGAGATAGATGATTTATTCACTTATCTCTCTCTTTCTATGATGTTGCTCTTCTCCAAGCAAAATTTATATGTTATACTTCAAATCGTACCTAAAAATGGGTGGAAAACTAAAAGCATTCTCAAAACCTTCTGGAGACCTTCTGCAGTTTCTCCGACGATAACATTAGGTTTTTATGATGGATTACATATAGTCCATAAGTTTCAGCCAACTGCACTGTTTCTCTCGAAAGTTATTGCTTTTTTGATTTATCAAACATACATTTGTGCTTTATATGACCCTGACTAACGCCAAGGGGATAAAATAATCCGAAAAATCCTGTATTATTTCTACTATATACTAGCTTGCCCCCTGTCATCTCTACAAAACGATAAAAACCTCTGAGAAACACTCTGAAACCGACGGGAACTGGTAACATTTTTTCACAATTCTGACAACCTGAGATACTACCATTCATTTTCTTCAAATCGTAACAAAAATCGGAGTTCTCTGGAAACTCTCTGGAGATAGGACATCATGCTTTTCCTTCATATTAATTCGAACTGCAGCTAAAAATCAGCTGAAAACCAAATATTTTTCAAAAACCTTCTGAAGATCTCCTGGAGATTCTCCTATTGTACCGTCAGATTCCCCGTGTTGAATTATCCACAATTCACAAGCTTCAGCCTCTACACCATATCTCTGAAGAGTTATTAGGTTCTTGATTTGTCCGTGCATTATAATTATACAGCATTCGACACAGTTTTTCACGCTAATTCCAAATATCGCCTTATTTTTTAATTTAAATGCTACTAAACTGAGAAAAACCTAAATTATCTGAAAAACCTATAACCCGAACCAGGAGCAACAACAACCAACAATATAAATTGGGACTCGTCGTAAAAAACTGCGTTGAATGGTGTATAATTCAGCCGTGTTTGTACTGAAAGTTTTGAATTTAGTTGATTCCTTTGTTTCTTGTATGTGCGTATAGGGATTTTTGATTGAAATTTTAAAATTTGAAATTATCAACAGATGAAATCGTCTAAACACTATTGTACTAGGTTATCGATGACTCTCTATCCAATGTAATTGTTTTCGAGTTTTTCAAAGGTTTTCTAAGTGGTTTTCTAGTGATCGGATTTCTGGAAAATCACTTAGAAAACCTTTTTAGAAATAAAAATGCATTCGATTAGATAGAGCACACAAGATAACCTATAGAAAGCGCGCTTTTAAGTTTTCCTGTAGCTTGCAGGCCAAAAGTCCACGTGCCTAGTGAAAATTGCCCGCTGTGTAATGTCCACATGGTTGCCCACTGTGTTATGTTTTTATTTAGATTTTGACCGAATAAACTCTGGTTAAACTTTAAATTTGAATTTTGATCGGACAAAATTCAAACTCAAATTTTGCCCAAGAAATTTCTGGTCGGACTTTAAATTGAAATGTTGATCAGACAAATTTAAAATTTAACCTAAATTAAAGTTTGTCGCAACATATATATTAGAATGATGATGTATTTTTGTTCCTACCCTGATCACACTCTGTTATATTTGCACAGTTAAATCTATGCAGCTCATAAACAGCAAGTTCATCTGTACATATCATAATATGTATTAACGTGATCTTGGACGACTGAAAAGGCAATGTGAAATTGAAAAATAACAAAATAAAAGAGACCTTGATATTATCTCTCTCCCTTTTTACTTGTTATCAAACTTTTTGCTGTTGTTAAAACATTCTCCTTTCCCTTGTCTACTGTTTTCAGCACTAACTTTGTTGTAGAGATACATTATATATATGTCTCACTCTTGCTGTGAAAGTTACTTTTTCGGTTACACAAAACGTACACGTCGAGTGAATATTTGTTAAAACAACAGTAAGTACAGGAATATTTTAAACCATAAAACATCTTTCGGTGGAGATTATGTTTCTTCTTCTTAGTGAAAAAACTGTCTGATAGGATTGCCTTTTGTTATCCTATCCTGTTAAATATAAAGTGTAGCAGACAGAGTAAGAAAGTTTTGATGTAAATCCCAGAAGCAGTGGTTACGATAACGAGATTCTCTAATGATAGAAATTCACAGGATAGAATGTGAAATATTTGACATAATAAGATATAAAAAAATGCTATTGGACTTGTCACTAGTAGAAAATAGAAGTTGATTCCAGTTATTGTCTTTAACAGAGTGGATCTTCATTAGAAGATGTGGGCTGTTTCGCTGCTTATCTGATATTACAGACATCTTAAGGCTAAAAGTTAAGAATAGAAGTTCAGCATATTTCTGATATTTGGTAGTATAGGTACCCTGATGTTGCTGAAATGGTTTAAGGTAAAAGCCTGTGTGGGATAACGTAACAACTGGCTTCTCTTCTAGAATAGGATTGAATGTTTCTCTTTCAGAGCAGTCAGATCGCTTTATCTTACTTCGCCGAAATTTTTTTGACATCCGTATCATGGTCTTTAAAACATTATCATTATTTATCCTTTGGATTTTTATACCTTTCACTACGTTCTTGGTGATCCTTACTGCCTGGTTAAATGAATGGACGTTGACAAATTCATTCTTAATACATGCAAGAACATCTGCACAGTTTGTCTACGTAGTTATCACAATTACTGGCGCATTAAATTACCATGCTGTTCGGGTTGTTAAAATTAGGCAACCAATCCATTTTGAATTTCCAATAGATATTGGTGCACCCATCATGATAGCTGGTTGTCTATTTTTTATGCATGTATCGTCAACATATTTCAATAATTATCGTGTACTGTTGTTAGAGCTGACATCAACTATTTTATCACTTATATATTTGGCATCGTGTTTCTGCATACGGAGTCGGAAAATTCAAATGGGCATTTACAGAGCTGATCAACCCATGGCACAAAGCATATCAAGATTAACACCAGTTGAGAAAGTTATTACAAAAGAAATGCAACAGATTAAAAACATAACTGAAACTAAAATACGAAAGATTCAACCAGTCCGAAAGGATATAAAGTTCCGAGAATAATTCAGGTATCATGAACATCTAAACAAGATTTATTTCTTTATTACTAAACTTATTCAAGCTAAACTATAAGGTTTTTTTCTAGTCTTTGATCGTTAATTAAAAACATTCATATTATAAGAGACTTCCTGCTAAAGGGTCATATCAATTGTCAGTAACTCGCATTTATTCTTAATTACTCAACGTTAATTCTAAAAATGATTTCAGTCAATTGGTCAAATCCTGTTTTATGAAGTTCTAGTCTTTCGTTGTGATAGAACAACTCTAGCTAATTCGGTGCACTTCAGCTGCATTCGATATTTGCACAATGGAGTTGTCTATTCTAATATAGAGCAGACTAGAAACCTTAACTAACGTTATAATCATAATTATTAAGATGTTATAATCACTTCGAGAAAACATGACAGATAAAGCATGATGTCCTATCTCCAGAGAGTTTCCA